AATGTATGCACAAGACCTCCTCTGTTGTCTACATTCTCCTTCACTTACTGGATCGGACATAGCTCTCAAATTTTCAGAGCTATATATCGTAATGCTCAAGAAAATATTTCTATTAGGGTGAGATATAATGCAAGTGAAGAGAAGTTAGATTTCTCGAAATACTTACTGCGAACCAACATCGATTGATACAGAAAAAACACATCAAAACACTGTGAGTCAGAGACAGGAGTTTACAAAACAGATTTAATTACTTGATGATTATGTCCTGTTACAATTATTTAAGATTGAGTACGGTGACACGGATGTTTATAGTGTCATCGTGCTCATATTTGCGTGATTATCCGGAAGGTAACTCTTACTTTTGTTTTAATGCGGTATGTGTGGATATTGAAGCCGAAGTATCCTACCAAGTTTGATTTCCAACGAAGTCGTTCGTTGCTTCTGTTTTGGAGTTGAACCAATGATTTTCGCTCGGAGTAATGTACGTACGAAGAAAGAATTGTGAATACGGACGTATCAAGCGGACTAGTCGAAAAAATAAAGCCTGTGACACATTTTCCACTAAGTAAGCTCTTTACTATGTAATATTTTCATTCTTTTGTTGAGTTGGTTTTACCGCCTTATTATGTACAGGAACTAAGTTGACAGTGTCGTATCACTTTACAGATAGTATTCGTTCAGCAGTCTGTCTTATGGAGCTCATATTTATTGTTTTTAAATTTATATCTAACTGTTATCTTACCCCATTCAGTGTAGTCTCAAAACGCGCGTTTTGAGACTACGTTTCGCTGATGCTAACAGACTTATTATTGTTTCTAGACTCATCTAATCGCCATGTAGGCCTAGTTCTAATTCTCTCTCGAGCGGATTTTTCTGTTCTTTTGAAGTCAACCGTCCCGGTGGTCCTATAAACCCCGATAAAATCACACCCCTGGTTAGCCACTACAACGAGTGGCATCCAGTTTGGTGATTAGTTTATTCTTGGCCACTGCGCATACGTGTTATTTGCCACGTAAGCCTTCTTTCGGCTTGCGCTCACTTATTTAAGCACACCATGTCTTTTCCTGGTGGTCCGTAAACTGCTATCAGATTTGAAGGGATTCATACGTATAAAACCGTAGTAAATTCCACCTTCAATGAAATGTTTAGTTCAGATGCCCTCTTATTACCGATAAGACTATCCGGAAGCCTTTTTTCTCCCAGCCTAATCCTGAGTACAGGTCTGTTTGCATTCGCTGAGGTGTTACGTCTTCTCGTTCCTAACTTCAACGCACTTCAATACATTCAGAGCTTTCACGAAGGCCTGAATTACACACATTACCGTCACCTTTGCATCCTATCAAAGGTAGCTGTCTCTAAAAGCCCACTTAACGTTTCCCGAACTTATTTACGTCTAGTACCAATTCCTTTAGAGGACATCTTAGGAAATGAATCTAAAACCTCATAATTCTTATAAAGTTGCACTACTTTTTTACTCCTTGTGCGCTTGTCAAATGCCATTTGGATGGGCAAATAAGTGAATTGTCTTTTTAAATTATTTGGCCAGTAAAAACCGGCAAAGGACTTTGCAACCCGGAAGATTGTGTTTGAAACATCAGTTGCAATAAAAATAGGTTCTTCAAGCACAATCCGGCTAATCATTTTCTCCAATTGTGCCCTTTTTTCCGGCCCTCAAATCTGAGATTTTCACAGTAAGATCTCAGGAATTCGACTATATCTGACTCAGTTATTCGCAGTAGCTGTTACAAGAC